CATTCTGGGGTCAAGAGGACGGTGGCCCTCTTCTCACAACTCCACTAGGCAGTGCCTCAGTAGGGACTCCCAACTACTCAGGAGGCTGAGGCAGGAGAATCGCTTGAACTTGGAGAGAGTGGAAGTTGCAGTGAACCAAGATCAAACCACTTCACTCCAGCCTGGGTGAAAGAGACTCTGTTTAAAAAAATATATATACCCAGCCATCCTAATAGAGGTGAAGTGGTATCTCACAGTGATTTTGATTTGTACTTCCCTGATGACTGTGTTGAGCATCACTAGTCATTTTTAGTATACCTGTTGGTCACTTTTATGTCTTATGTCTTCTTTGGAGACATGTCTATTCAGGTCCTTTGCTCGTTTTTTTAACTGGGTTACTTTCTTTTTTTTTTTTTTTTTTTTGAGTTTGCATTCCTTATTTTTTTTTGGAGATTAACTCCTTATCAGATATATGGTTCACAAATATTTTCTCCCAATCCATAGGCTGTCTTTTTGTTTTGCTGATTGTTTGCTGTGCAGGAACATTTTAGTTTGATCTAGTCCCATTTGTTTAGGTTTGCTTTTATTGCCTGTGCTTTTGGTGTCATATCTAAAAAATCATTGCCAAGACCAATGTCAAGGAGCTTTTTCCACACTATGTTTTATTCCGGAAGTTTTAAGGTTTCAGGTCTTACATTCAGGTCTTTAATCTATTTTGAACTGATTTTTGTGTGTGGTGGAAGACAAGGATCCAGTTTCACTCTTTCACATGTGGATATCTGGTTGTCCCAACACCATTTATTGAAGAGACTATCCTTTTCCCTTTGTGTTTTCTTGCAGGGGTTTTCAAAAATTAGTTAACTGTATATACTTAGGCTTATTCCCAGGTTCTCTATTCTGTTCCACTGGTCTATGTGTCTGTTTTTATGCCAATACCATACTGTTGAAATTACTATGGCTTTGTAATATAATTTTGGGTCAAGTAATTTGATACTTCCAACTTCGTTTTTCTTTCTTACGAGTGCTTTAGCTCTTCAGGGTCTTTTGTACTTCCATAGACATTTTAGAATTGGGTTTTTCTATTTCTGTGAAGAATGTCATTGGAATTTTGATAGGGACTGAGATGAATCTGCAGATTACTTTAGGTAATATAGACATTTTAACAATTCTAACTCTAACTCTCCTGGTATATGAACACAAGATACCCTTCCATTTATTTGTGTCTTCCTCAATTTTTTGCATTAGTGTTTTACAGTTTTCAGCATACAGATCTTTCACCTCCTTGGTTAAATTTATTCCTCAGTATATTATTCTTTTTGAAGCTATATAGATAAGATTGTTTTCTTGGTTTCTTTTTTGAATAAGTTATTATTGGTATACAAGATTTAAATTCTTCTTAATGAGAAGAAATACTCTCAATCACCATTATCAAACATTAAATGGCTTTGGAAATTAGCTTTGGCTGCAGACCTGACAATGTTTCTTAATTCATTCTAAAACTATAAGGCAAAACATCACTCATATGTAAAACTTACACTGCAGTAAACTCACTTCAACAACAACTCCTGTTGTTTGAATCACAAGTAATATAAAGCTGCTTTATACACTTCCAGTGCTGTCAAAACTAGAACAAGATATTAGATCTCTGTTTCCACACAAAGTGGCAGTGGATATATTTTCCAGCCTCAAACTACAATTCCAGAGTGTTTGTTAGGCCTCAATGTAATGCAAAAGAAATTTCCATATTTCAAAATCCATTTAACTATGCAATTAAGAAGCTTCCATCAACCTTCAGTTGGAAGTAACGAATCTACCAAGTAATACATGCTTAAGGGCAAACGGCAAGAAAAAAATCTAATAGAATTCTAGAAATACCTTCTAAGGAACGAATATGCTAAATTTAAATTTCACACACATAGACTGATACCAGTTTTTGACAGTATCTATGTGAAAAGACATTTTCAAGGATGAAATACATAAAACCTCATTACAGATCAACATTAGCAGATAAACATTTTAAATAGATTTTGATGATAGAGAACACTAATTCTGAACTCCAACTAAGTGAAATGTTATCTTTCAAAAAATTTTTTTAATTCTCAATAGTAAAGCTGTCTAAAAAAAAATTTGTATTCAATGATTATTATTTGAACTTCAAATAACAATCAATAAAACATTTGTGGAAATTCATTTTCTCTGTTGTTATTCCTACATAATATGCCATAATGCCTTCTTAATACCCTCAAATTTGCCTCTTGGCCTGCAAAGCATAAAATGTCTACTATCTGACAATGCATTCTAAAATAATAAATTTTTACAAATAAAGATAAATATGTGATTGATATTTTATTTACACAAAGCTTTTAAAGGTAATTTCTTGGCATTCCTATATTACCCCACTAAGATAAAAGTGATGGTCGCTGAAATCTAGAAACAATTTCAATCAACTTTCAGACATTGGTAGAGGAAGTTAAATAACTCCAATCTCTCAATAATAATGCAAAGTGTACTTGCTAAATAACAATCAGATTGATCAAAATAACCAGCTTCTTGACATTTTCAAGAAACTTCCAAAATCTAAACCCTTTCTTCACACACAAGCAAAACCACTCAAAGCCATTCAAAACAAATAAAAAACAAAAAAGCTCTTACTCCAAAAATAAGCTCTTACATAGAAAATGGCAATAAAAATACTTTCCTGTTCACAAAAAACCAGGCTTGCTACAGAATGCCTAAAACGTCAAGGAATTTCAAGTCAGCAGTACTGACTATGAGGACAACTGCTTTTGCAACCAGCAAGGAAATAACCAGAGTTCCCAACCTCCAGCTCACATGACTCAGAAGGCACCGAGAGGCCTCTCTGTTTTTCTTCATCTCAGCCACACTCTCTCCTAAGCCTTTCTCTGTTGATTGATCTCTCCTATCTATTTCTGCATACCAATCCACTTCTTTAACTGGCCATAAAATCTCCTGCATAATATTATTTTATCTTCCACTCTAATACAATACCTAGGGTTCAGTGTACAGTGGATTAGTTCATACTGGTCAACATAACACAGCTAGAGAAAGTTTTTATTGCTAGTGTTACCGAATTATACATAAGTCAGATAAAATAGGCGAGTCAAAGAGAGCTAAGTATCTCCCACTTCTGATGTAATTGCCTTAGGGAAGGAGAAGAGCTGGGAATTCTCTTATTTTGATAGACAGGGACAGATTCAAGTTATAGGTCTTCATCCACAGCTGTGGCTGCTGCAGGAAGCCCCTGGCCTATTTGGATGACAGTTTGACACCTAACTCAACACTTTTTAACCTCCCCTCAAGAATAAGCCAAATGACTGAAAATGAAGACTCGGAATCCGGAAAGTTTTCAACAGCCCTATCCTTCTAAGGTGGCTGCAGTTTTTTACTTCAATATCAGGGATAGGAGGTTAGGTAGAGAAGCTATTTGCCAAGTCTGTATTTTTCTTTTTATCCACATATACAAACAATAGGCTTCTTTCCCCTTTTTAAATATGTAAACTTGAGTCAAGACTCTGGAATTAAGTATTACCTGGTAGAACTATAGAAGTGGCTTAAATTTCGCTTAGAAGCTCTCTATAAATTAAATCAGTCCACAAGCCACTCTGGAACTTTCCTCTCTCCAGCCTGTACTACATGAACCATTCCTTCAACAATTCCCTAACCAGTATCTTCAGCTCTCTAATCACACTACCCCAATCCTGCTTGACTCAAAAGGTCTGCCTGCTTCCACTTCTTCACTCAGACATCTGGGCCTAAGTGAAAAGAATCACATAATCACATAACCAAACCAAATGGCATGATTATCAGTGCTTGGTCTCCAACTGCCACCAAGTTATGCTAAATTTATTTTTGTTTTTTTGTTTGTTTGTTTTTTGAGATGAAGTCTTGTCTGGTTGCCAGGCTGGAGTGCAGTGGTGCAATCTCAGCTCACTGCAACCTCTGCCTCCCGAGTTCAAGCAATTCTCCTGCCTCAGCCTCCTGAGTAGCTGGGACTGCAGGAGAGGACCGCCACACCCAGCAAATTTTTGTATTTTGTATTTTTAATAGAGATGGGTTTCACCATGTTGGTCAGGCTGGTCTCGAACCCCAGACCTCCTGATCCCTCTCAGCCTCCCAAAGTGCTGGAATTACAGGCGTGAGCCACCGCACCCGCCCACTGCTAAATTTTATCCCTCAACTCTCTCTTTCATTCTCCAAAACTGCCATTTCTAACCTTTACCACTCTGTCCACACCTCCTACCTTACAACCTCATTCTTAGCAGATGATCATGATGCCTACTTCATAAAGAAGATAGAAACAGTTGTACACAGAAGATGCTTCCACCAGCACCATTCTCTCCTCTTTCCCTCAATTATAATCAAAGAAGTGCCTTCTGCTTGCCCAATCTATGTTCCAGGCCCCATTTCCTCTCATCTCCATGGCAAGCTGACCCTATGAATCATCCACTTTATGTCCTAATGTCACCTACTCACTCCATTACTGTGCTCTTAAATCAAAACAAACACAAAAACATCCCTCCTTGCTCTCAAAATCTCCTTGAAAGCATTGCCTATATGTTTTATCTCCCCTGCCTAACTCCACCCACCCCCAACCACTCCATCCACACTGTTGCTGCCAAATTACAGTGGCCTGTAATGAACGCTTTCCCATTCAGCAATAGATATGGTTGACCACTCAGATGTCACAAAAACACTCTTTCTCTTTGCCTTCTGTGACAGCGCATTCTCTGTATTCTTCTCTTACCTGGAGGTATGCCATCTTTTGTATCAGCAACAGCAGTGTGGAAAGGAATGTGTATGTGTGTATACATGAATGCAGTCAGGAAAACTCAGGGCTGCTGCTTCTCCAGCAAAGAAGACACACGCATCCATAAAGATGAAGATATTAGGAAGCCATATTTAAGTAACTGGAGCTGGGAAGTTCATCAGCATTTGGGTTGTGGCATGCTGAGGTTGGCATCGCAATTCCAGTCCCCTCTGAACTCTCCTACTTGCCTCACCTGCTGAAATAAGAGCTCCTCTGCTTTGAGCCTCTCCATCATTTCCTGCTCCATCAGAGCTAATTCTCTTTCACGCTCCAGCTCAGCCATTTCCTTTTGTCTCTAGCATTGTTTAAAAACAACAGCAAGTGACTTTTTAGAGAGAAAAGCAATCTTGAAAGCACTTAATAGGGACAATTAGGGAAAGGGTTAAGCAAATTATAGCCCATCCCTTTCAAAACTAAATAATAATTTGGGAAGATATTTTATCTGAATAATGAGCACAATATTAAAGTTACACATTGTGTATTATCACAAGTACATAAACATAAATCTATAAATCTATATAAAAAAGACTTCCCATGAAAGTAATTACCTAAAAATTTAAATAGAAGTCTTCTTTGGGTACTGTTTTCTCCTTCCTACTTTTCATGTTGTTCAGGTTTTCATATAATAAACATTATTTTTATAACAGAAAAATAAAAATATTAAACTTTTTAAAAAGCAGACAAGTTGGACCAGTTATTTTTCGCTTCTAATTTCCTAGAGGGAGGTTCCTACTTACCAGTTGTTCCATGGTCACATTTTCCTTAAACTTGTAAATCCACAATGCCAAATATTCTATTGGATCCACTGGGCGAACTTTTGCCACTTCTGCAAGACCTTGAGTTAAACACCTCCCAAGGTGCTTTTGAAGATATATTGACTCCATTTCTAACACCTAAAAAAAAACTCCTAAAAAGTAAGTGTTTTTGCAGTATCTTCAATAAAGTCACTATATGACTAAAGTTCAGTGAGGTGAACAAAGCATGACACCCTGCCCTCAGTCATGGACACCTCCCATTGAGGGTGCCAAAAGCAAGCTGGTCCCAGGAAACTTCTAATAGTTTCCAAAAGGGCTCCACAGAAGTCACTACAACTAAAATGGTTTCAAAATCCTGAAGGACTCTCAAGTCCAAGAGTCAGAAAAGAGGTATTATTACTATTGATTTCAGGATTACTTGATGCCAAGTAACATGAGTCTCATTTAATCCTCGCAACATACCTGAAAAGTGGATATCATGATCTCAATGGGAAGATGAGCAAGCCCACGCACAAAGAGCATCAGAGCACAGTTCAGGATCACACAGCTGGCAGATGAAGGAGATAGGGTTTGTACCCTCCTATTGATTCCAAAACCCTAACCCTAAAGACTATACTAAAATGTTCCTTCTAAGCCATGAGAGCCATTTTCACAAAGCATCACAATAGTCCACCTTTTGAAAAAAAATCCATAAATTTTCCAAGGCCAAAGAAGAAAAACTCAACCGCCAAATAATAACGTATGAAACGCCTCACAATTTGGCCCCAATTTTCTTTTGAGGTTCAACTCCGGACATCATCTCTCCTGGCCCCAGCACACCCTGGCCTCTCTCTAACTCCGTGGACATCCTGCCATTCTGATGATCACGCCTTGCACATTTCCATCTCCATGACTCTTGTACATGATGATCCCTCGCTCTCTCTCCTCTTTCTCCTCCCTCTCTCTCTCCACTCTCTCTCTCTTTTCTCCTCTCTCTCTGTCACTCTTTCTCTCTCAGAAAAGTTCTCCTCCCCTGCAAGGTAGAGAATCATTTCTCATTCCCTAAGCTTCCCAGGCAACCCAAAGAAGTTCCTCTTGCTCCAAGCAGCTTACACAGCATTTGCCACACTACCTGAGAATTACAGTATGTCCGTGTGTGTGTTTCTGTCCTACCACGAGAAGACAAACTCCTCTAGCTGCTTGAAGAGTGTTTTAATCACAGGGCTGACACAGCTGTCTCTCCATGGTAACAAGGGAATGACTTGCTCCACTCTCCCAATTATGTCCTACTCTTTCCAGTTATGAAAATAAGCAGGAATAATCATAGACTGGACTGTTTTTAAAACAGAAAAGGAAGAATGCTGCAACCAGTCTCTTTCAGTGCTTTGGAAAAAATGATTACCCTCAGATTACTCTTAATATTTTAAGAAATCCAGACTTTTCTGAGGATCTGATGAAATGTAATCATTTGTTGAACAAATATGTAATGAATATTGGTTGGGCACAATGGCTCATACCTGTAATCCTAGCACTTTGGAAGGCCAAGACGGGTGGATAACCTGAGGTCAGGAGTTTGAGACCAGCCTGGCCATGATGGTGAAATGCTGTCTTTACTAAAAATACAAAATTAGCCGGGCATGGTGGCACATGCCTGTAATCCCAGCTACTTGGGAGGCTGAAGCAGGAGAATCACTTGAATCCGGGAGGTGGAGTTTGCAGTGAGCTGAGATTGTGCCATTGTACTCCAGCCTAGGCAACAAGAGTGAAACCTCATCTCAAAAAAAAAAAAAAGAATACCTATCAGGCACCATAATAGGTACTGGGAATACAAAACTACTGTGGATTGAATGTCTGGGTCCCCCAAAAATCCCTATGTTGAAATTATAACTCCCAATATGATGGTATTAGGAGGCAGAGCCTTTGGGAAGTGATTAGATCATGAGTGTGGAGCCCTCATGCATGGGATTACTGCGCTTATAAAAAGAGAGCTTGCTTTAACTCTCTGCTGTCTGTCATTTGAGAATAAAACTAGAAGACAAACCAGGCAGAGGGTTCTCACCATATACCAGAAATGCCAATGCCTTGATTTTGAACTTTCCAGCCTCCAGAATGGTGAGAAATAAATATGTATTGTTTTAAAGCCACCCAGTCTTGGTAATTTGCTACAGCAGCCCAAACTAAAACAAAAACAGTCTCTGCCTTCATAGAGCCAATAGATGAGTAGGGAAGAAAAATATTAGCCACATATTTAAATCAATAAATATGAAATTGAAGTTAAAATAAGTAATATAAAGACCAGACAGGACGAAGAGTTTGACCAAGTCAGGGAAGTCAAAAAAAGCTTCTCTGAGGGGTGACATTTGAGCTAAGCTTATAATTACCAAAAAAAAAAAAAAAAAACAGTAAAATTAACATGGCAAAGAAGAGAAGGAAGAGTCTTCTAGGTATGAGGAAAAGCCCTGATATAGGAATGAACAAATTACAGGGGATAAAATGCCACTGTGTCTAAACTTTTCCCTAGACAAATGCACCTAACATTTTGCATAAAATTTCAGAGGCACTGACATCCTGGGCTCATTCATAACCCCCAATCTTTATTCATGGATAGACCCCAAGATGTCAGTGTCTCTGAAATTGTATACATAACCATGTGCATATGCCATATGACAGTGAGGTGAGAGCAAAACGGCATAACTCCTATGGAGGAGAATTTGGCAAAATCTAGAAAATCGCATATGCATTCACCCTTTGACTCATCAGTCTTGCTTCTTGGATCCTATCTCAAAGAAAAAATATGAAATGGCATATGGATTATTTGCAGCATTGTTTACAGCAGTCAGACTGAAGCACCACCTAAATGTTCATCAAATTGGGGACTAATGAGAAAGAGCAACACAATGGGTTATTATGCAGATGTACAAGAGAAAGAAGAAACTAGAGAGTGATCTCTAAGACATAGAATAAAGAAAATGAGGTACAGAAATTGTATCTGGTCTGTCATCTTTTGTATTAGCAACAGCAGTGGGGAAAGGAATGTGTACGTGTGTAGACATAAATATAGTCATAAAAACTCAAAAAACTGAAAATTGGTACAAATGAACCTAATTACAAACCAGGTTGATATTGGCGTCCTAGCCACACAGAGAAAAGAATTATTACAGCTGACTTTGGAACACAGTATCTGCACAGTATTTCCTCAGTAGGATGGACTTGAAAGACCCAAATGCTATATAGACATCTCAAAGTCATTTGAAGTGAAGTAATATAAAAATGGGAACAGACTCCTGTTGCTGCTCCAGAAAAATAAAATGTGGGGAAGTGGGAACGGTAACATTATCCCTAAAGAGAAAACTTCTGGCCTAACAGTCAGGCCAAGTCAGGGAAGGCTCTGTCTCGGATTTCTGGGCATATCAGTGGGACCCTGACAAGGCCTGTCAACTCCTTTAGCATGGTTCCTGTCTGTGAAACAAGGATAATACCCATCTCTCCTGTTGTAAGCAGTGTTATTTTTCATACACACTAATAGGCATCTTGGCTCAACATAAGAAAGTTCTTTCCCAAAGAAACAGCTGCCTCCAGCCTGAAGAAAGTGCCGCAGAGATGTAAGGAGGTACCTTACCCACACCTGGGAGAGAGCCAGCCAGCCGACTGGGCAGGGGCACCTGGGCAGGGATGCTAGACTTCTCAACTCAAAACCCAGCTCGCCCAGGAAACTCTGAGTTTCAGATAACGAATAACTTTGCATGATACTATATTTGGACTGAAAAGTAGTTCGTTTATCTGAAATTCAGTTACCTAGGCATGCAGTACAGTACTGTATCTGGGAACCTCCCGGGGAGCTCAGTGTGGTTTTCCCACCCGGGATCGTGGAAGGGTCTCCCGCAGTCCGCAGGAGCCGCAGCCCTTCCTGCTCAGGAGCAGGAGGAGGAGAGCCTGCCGCTTTCGGGAGCTCCAGGCGCGAAGCTGCCTCTCTCCGCCTCAGGTGAGTCCTGCTCGACGCCCAAGTCCCAACGGTCAGAACCGCCTCTGCCCGCCTGACCCAGCGAAGCCAGAGGAACAAGTCTCAAAAATGGTTGGTGCTTTTGCGCACCGGACGCACGCGCCTGCTCGCCACCCGGGAGCCGCGTCCCGTTGCCAGGCAACGAGAGCGCGCGCGGCAGGAACCTTTGTAGGCGCCGCAAAGCGAGAGGGGCGCGCGCACCGGTGAGCGGAGGGCGCGCGTGGGCGGAGAAAGGGGAACGCACTGCAGAGGGAAGGGGGCTTGCGGGGTCGCGCTGCAGAGAGGAGGGGGCGAGCAGGAGTCGGGGCGCGCGGCAGAGTGGTCGAGGCGTGCGCGGGGGGCGCGGCAGAGTGAAGGGGTATGCAGGAGTGGGGCGCGCGGCAGAGAGAAGGGGTCGTGAAGCAGGGGCGCGCGCGAGGGGATGGAGCCAGAGAGGAGGGGTGTTCAGGAGGGAGGCGCGCAGCAGAGAGGAGAGGCCTGCGGCAGAGAAAAGTGGGTGTGCAGGAGAGAGAGCGCCCACGAGGGGACAGCAGGCAGAGAGGAGGGGGAATGCAAGAAGGGAGCGCGGCAGAGGGAAGCGGCGCGCTCGAGGGGGCGGGGGCCAGGGAGCTGGGCGCGTAGGAGAAAGGAGTGGGCACGCTGGAGGCGGGGTGTGCGCGCGAGGGTCCAGGAAACGCGTTTGTGGCGGCTCGCAGGTCGGTGAGCCGAGGAGACTTGCAACACAGAAACCTGGAGGACTTGGGGTGCAGAAAAGAGCAAGGGACCCTGGTTGGCAGGCTCCGGGAGAGACGAACGGGTGAGGAGGCTTTGAGGAGGTGCCAGGAAGGGCAGCCAATCAGAGAAGGGTGGGGGACCTTCCAGAGTTGCCGGAAAACCGTCACTGCAAGTTGCCAATTGCCTGGCAGTTTCACAACTGCGCACCTTTGCTCTTGCTGGTGACCTCTGCTGGGTTCCTTTCAGAACCAACTCGGGCCCCCCACCTCTGGGATGCCGTCCAACCTTCACCAGGTCCAAGCCCTTGCAGTCTTCCCTGGCCTAGTGGTCTGTGCATGTACTAGCCTTTCCGGTGCTCTCTTTCAGCTTATGGGCGAGGCAGTGCCAGGCAAGAGAGGTCTTACATGTTAGTTGAGATAGTAAGTGCCAGAGTGGACGCTGAAAAATCAAAGGGAAGCATGAGCGCAGGTGTCACAGCCCTAATGAATAAGGCAAGAAGTATTTACTGAGCTCCTAGTGTGCCAAGCACCAGTGGTATAGAGTGAACAAAGACAACCCCTATCCTTATTGCCTTGCCTACTGAGTGCAAGGTCAGGAACAGTGTAAGCACACCCTCAGGGCAGCTCTGGGAAATACAGAAAAATAACCTCTCCCCCTATTGGTGAGTATACCCTAAGTTGGTCTGACTGGGCTTTAAAAGGCACCCCTTTGGCCAGGCGCAGAGGCTCACCCCTGTAATCCTAGCACTTTGGGAGGCCGAGGCGGGCAGATCACGAGGTCAAGAGATCGAGACCATCCTGGTCAACACGGTGAAACCCCGTCTCTACTAAAAATACAAAAAAAAAAAATTAGCTGGGCATGGTGGCGCATGCCTGTAATCCCAGCTACTCAGGAGGCTGAGGCAGGAGAATTGCCTGAACCCAGGAGGCGGAGGTTGCAGTGAGCCGAGATCGCGCCATTGCACTCCAGCCTGGGTAACAAGAGCGAAACTCCGTCTCAAAAAAAAAAAATTAGCTGGGTGTGGTAGCACACACCTGTAATCCCAGCTCCTTGGGACACTAAGGCAGTGGAATCGCTTGAACCCAGGAGGCAGAGATTGCAGTGAACCAAGATTGCGCCACTGCATACCCACCTGGGTGACAGAGCAAGGCTCTGTCTCAAAAATTTTTAAAAATAAATAAATAAAAGGCATCCTCTTGACTTCTTCCCCACCAGGCCTCACATTGTGGCTGTATCCTTGCTCTACTGTCTTTGCACCATATCTTAGTAACTGTTGGACCAACACATTTCATTCAGATCATTGTCGAAAATGGGCAATTTAGAGTAGGTGGGGTTATGCCAATACGGCTTGCCACATGTAAGCAGTGTGGCAGCCACCCAATGACCAGAGAATGCAGAGCTGGTGATTCTGCCTTCTGGGAAGGACAGTTCTACAGTGATTCAGGCAAAGTAGATCAGTAACTACAAGTCACTTGGGGATTTTATTAACCTGCAGGCTCTGAATCTGTGGGGTGGGGTAGGACCTGAGATTCTGCCTCTCCACAAGTCCCCAGGTGATGGCATGCTGCTGATCATCTCATCAGACCAGGTTTGCGTAAGAGGAGGGGTGTAGAAGGTTGTTTATCCAAGTGCATTGGTTTAAGTGGGCTGTATAGATTGGCAGGAGACACCACCCACCTCTGTCCCCACCGTCATTCACCACCCTGCTCAGCTTTTTTGTTTTATTCCCTTACAGATCTTGGAGTCAGAATTCCAAAGGGAATCTTACTGGACTAAAACCAAAGTGTCAGCAGAGCTGGTTCCTCAGGAGGCTCTGGGGCGAATCTATTTTCTTGCCTTTTCCAGCTTCTAGAGGATATCTTTGGCTCAAGACCCTGAATCACATCGCCTTTTCTCCCTCGGCTCTGTCATCACCTTCCCTATCTGACCATACTGTGTCCGTCTTATAGTGACACCTGTGATTACATTGTTCCTACTCAGATAATCCCCCTACCTAAAGATCCTTAATTTAATCACATTTACAAAGTCCCTTTTGCCATTTAAAGTGAAATATTCATAGGTTCCAGGTATTCTGACGTGGACACATTTGGGAGCCATTATTCAGCCCTAGAACAAGGACATTCTCTTACTCATATTTCCATTATTCAAAATCAAGAAATTTAACTTGGATAAATTATATCACATAATCTACAATTCACATTCAATTCATGTAATTTTCCTAACAATGACCTTTATAGAATTCTTTTTTCTTTTCTTTCCTTCTTTCTTCCTTTTTTTTTTTTTCAGACAATGTCTCACTCTGTCACCCAGGTTGGAGTGCCGTGGTGAGATCTTGACTCACTGCAGCCTCAGCCTCCTGGGCTCAAGTGATCCTCTCACCTCAGCCCTGCTAAGTACAGCCCCCCTAAGTACTACAGGTGTGTGCCATCATGCCCGGCTAATTTTTGTATTTTTTGTGGAGACAGGGTTTTGCCATGTTGCCCAGGCTGGTCTCAAACCCCTGAGCTCAAGTGATCCTCCTGCCTCAGCCTCCCAAAGTGCTGGGATTACATGCGTGCACCACCATGCCCAGCCAAATTCTTTTTTCTTGTCAAGATACAATCTAGGATCATGTGTTACATGTAGTTATTATAGCTGTTCACTCTCCTTTGATCTGTAACAGTTAACTCGTTTTTTCATAACCTCAACATTTTTAAGAGTACAAGGTAGTTGTAGACTGTCTTGCTTTGGATTTATTTGATGTTTCCTCAATTAGATTCAAATACTGCATTTTAGGCAGAAATCCACAGAAATATTTTATGTACCGTAAGAAGTGCATCACAGCAGGAGGCACTTGATGTCACTTTGTCCCTTTATTGGTGATGTTTACTTGCATTACTTGTTTAAGGTTGTGTTGGCCAGGTTTTGCCACTGTAAAATTTCTGTATTTCCTTTGGAATAAATACTTAATTTGTGAGAAGAAATTTTGAGACTATACATATTTCTTATTCCTTGTCAAATGTTCACCCAGGCTTAGCACTCACTGACTCACGCCTTGATTCAGTTCTACTGTGATGATAAGGAAATGGCAGTTTTTTAAAACCCCGTTATTTTCCCCACATTTGTTAGTTGGCATGCTACTTTAGCAAAGAACTTTGTCTTCTCCCTTCTTATTCTACTTATATATTCTCATATGGACTTATGGATTCTTATTTTTTCCATAAGTTATAATCCATTACAGTCACTATTTTAATGGTCAAACTGCCCCAGATTTGACTATAGGAGCCCCTTTAAGCTGGTTCCTCTGTCCCCAACCATTATATTTTTTAGAATGTTCTAACTTTCTGGCACAACAAACTGTTCCAGGCTCATTAGACTTGTCCTGCCCCAGCCTTGGAATCAGCCATTCCTCTAACGAGCCCTGATTCCCCTAGCTGATTCCAGTAGCTGCAGGGCCAACATTTTCCCTCCCTCTTCTCCCCAGGGCATTTCCATGGTCCCCTGTGAAATAAATGAGCTGTCTTATCTGTGTCATAGATGACCATAGCCTCCAACCTCATAATAGCACAGCCTGCTGGGTGCTCAGAGCCCCTCCGCCAGACCTCCTGCCTGCTCATTTATTTTCTCTCTATTCAAGGGCAGAAATGTGTGGGTCAGGGGAGGCCTTAGTCACCCTTACCACCAACGTACCAAACTCCTCCCAAGCCTGGTAAACCCTAGGACCCACACTGTCTGACCTAGTGCAGCTGGACAGCTTTAGAAAAAAGTCCATTTGAATATAAGACCTATTGACAGGTATGTGTTTGTTGGTTCTTTTGGGAATGATATGATCCAGAAACATCTCATATTTGTCCTGAAATAAATCTGAATTGGTTAGAATGTATCTATTTTTAATATCAGATTAAGTTTGTAAAATAGTGTGACTTTGTTTCGATGTTTTCCAGGCTCCCAGGATGGAAACTAACTACCTAAAGAGGTGCTTTGGAAATTGCCTGGCCCAGGCACTGGCAGAGGTAGCAAAGGTTCGGCCCAGTGACCCAATAGAATACCTGGCTCACTGGCTTTATCATTATGGGAAAACAGTGAAAGCCAAAGAAGAGGTGTGTATGTGCACTGGGACTTAGGGAGGGCCCAGCTTTCCGAGGGTACTTCGAAAGCCAGACACAAGGCAGGATTCTGGAGCTGGCCTGGGGAGTCCCTTGGTTTATTTGACTTGCTCTTAGGGCAAGATATCCCTTAAATGTGGGGATCCTGGAGGCTCAGAGAAGTGGGGCTTCAACTCAGAGGAGCTGTGGGGTTGAAGGGTTTGTAGCTAGTTACAGGAGGAAACTCAACTGACCCAAAGGGCCCATGACCCAAGCCAGTCCCCAGTGGGTCAGGGGGGAGGGCATTTATAAGGCTTCTCCAGGTGCTGACCTGATTCAACTCTGTCACCTCACCACAGAATAGGCAAGAGAAGATCCAGCTGCAGCAAGAATATGACAGTAGCCTCAAGGAAATGGAAATGACAGAAAGACTGAAACAAGAAGAGTATCAGATTCAACAGAAGTGTGAAAAGTGTCACAAGGTAGGGAGAAGGGACTCAGCTTTGAGTAGCCATAAACATCCCAAAGATGGAATCCAGGAAGGCCACAAGTTAGCCCAACCCCAGTGTAAGGCACAGCAAGGGTCCTTGTAGCCTGCTTTTCACTCCATATTCACGTGTTTGTATATAAACCTATGTTATTGACAACCTTTGTTAATGGAAAAAAGGAGATGTTAAAAGACAAATTTGTCTCGATTTGAGGAAATACTCTGGTGTTACTGGTTTTAAAACATCTGACTTTTAAGAAAATCTATTCACTTGGAGCGAATATTTTTTTATATAAGCTCCTTTGAGCCCTTTTTAAGTAGTATTCGATATTTTTCAGAAACCAAATATGGTTGTTATCAGTGCATACTTCAGATATTTAACTTAGTATTTAGGATTTGGCTTATTATATTCTATTTGCTTTTATGTGAAACCTCAGATGCCTCCTCTGTGTTGGTATAATATTAGATGAAAGTTGTTAACTTGGAATAGTTGAAGACAACTCTGCATTCATCAGTCTGACAAGCATATCTTTTACCTCCACAGTTCTTTTCACAATCTCCTGAAAAATGCCTTATGCCATTCCATGCTTTCTACAAAGTGGTAGATACCTGGATAGAGAGTTATCTCGATTGCAGTGTTGGGTTTGACGTCTGACATCTTTTTAACTGTCACTATTCCCTGTGCATTAAAGTCTTTAATGCAGTCCATTACAATTCACTAGCATTTGCTAGCTTCCAAAGCCAACTTTGAAGCCATGAAAATATTAAGCTTATTTACACTTATATTAATATACTCAACATCCTCATAAACAATATATTTGCTTCTTAAAGGCTGGATGTCTTGTAAATAAATTAAATCAAAAGATAGTTTCATTCTATTGCTTGGCAATAGTTTAAGGGAACTCTCCCTCAGGAAGGATTCATTCTTTAAGCAATTGTTTGGAAATGGGAGAGGTGAGGATCATTCAGCAAAATGTGTCATCACCTTGCTGCCCACCTCTAATCTATTTGTAACTTCATGCTTTACTGTTAATAGAAATAGAACTATATAAGGCAATAAGAAATATGTAAGGAAGACTCCCAAAACTCCACCCTAGTTTTATGGTATCTTTATTAAGGAAAACTTTGCTCACATCAATATTCTGAATTGTCTTTTTGTGTTTCACTGAGGAGGTTTTGCATCCAGCAGCAATATTCCTTAACAAGATTTACATTAGCAAATGGTATGTCATTCTTTTGCCAAGTGTGTGATGTAGGCAATTGTAAGGGAAGATGGGAAATGACAGCCCGTACAATGCCTAGACTATGTGCAAGTTCCCAGTCTTAGGAAAGAGTTCATGTGTAGGTTGTGCTTACGGAAATGGATTCCCTATGTTAGAAGGAAATAAAGAGAACCCAAGAGTGATCTAAAATGAAGCCAAATTAATAGTTTACCTGGCAAGGGAGAGCAACAACATTAAGGTGTGAGTTACTCTCCAAGCAAACTTTGACAAGGCTAAATAGAGGGCAAAGAGGCAGAGGTATATCAGAAAGACAAGATTCCAAGTTCTGGCTTCTGATTGACTCAGGTGGATTACAAACTGTTCCTTGCTATTGGCCACCTTCACATTTTGTGTGACTAGTGCTGGGAAACCCAGTTTCAAACTGACCCAGGATAGGTTGCATAAAACTTCAGCAGGCCTGCTAGTTTACCTGATGAACTGATATGCATACACTCGAAGCTTTGCAGTTTTTTCCTTAATTGCTTAAAAAAAAAAAAAAAAAAAACATTGTGACTTGGATAGACCTTAGTAAGTCTTTGAGTACGCCCAGATTGAATACTGCTTATCTAGTAGATTTGCCAAAAGAGGAATAGAAACAGAATGCTACATATGGTAGGGATCATATGCAATTATCAGAATAAAAAAGTATCCATGGAGGAGATAGAATTTGAATCAGGCAAAGGTTATCCTTGTACAGATATCTCTTCATTAAGCAGACGCAGCTTTAAGTAAACCACAATTTTATTTCTGAGTAAGAAGAAAACTCCTGTTGTTTATAAAGATCTAAACTATACAAATGTTTTAGAAATACATATTTATAGAATCAACAGATATTTGCTGCATAGACCCGATACTTTGAAGTTTAGAAGGGTCTCAGAGACCATGTGGACAAGGATTTCACAAACCTCCCTGCAGAGCCCCATAGGGCTCATCGTAAAATGGACCTGTACAACTTCCAGGCAAAGATTGGAGTTGGCGGGGGGTGGGGGTCAGTAGAGCCTAAGCTCCAAGGATTCCTACCTCAGCCAGAGACATGGATGTTAAACTGCTCGATATTGTCTCATGGGTCACTGAGGCTCTGATTGTTTTTTCCCTGTGTGCTTCAGTTTGGATAATTTCTACTGATCTACCTTCGTGTTTACTGACCATTTCTTCTGCAACGCCCGATATCCTATCTGGGAATTCTGTGAAATTTTTCACTTCAGATATTGTACTTTTCAGTTCTAGAATTTCTATTTAGTTTTTTAAATATAATTTCTACTTTCTCTGCTGATACATCTTAACTTTCACATTATGTCCATTTTCCACCTTCAATTTGTGAAAATATTTATAATGGCTGTTTTCAGTCCTTGTGTGTTAATTCCATCATCTGTGTCATTTTGGGGCCTTTTTCTATTGAATACTTTTCCTCTAGATTATAGTTCATATTTTTCTACTTTTTTACATGTCTAGTAATTTTTACTTGTGTTCGGGACATTGTAGAGGCCATTTTATAGGGAGTCTAGATTGTGCTGTTTCCCATTAAGAGGTGTTGGATTTTGTCCAGGCAGGCAGTTAAATTATTGGTGAATCAACTTATCCTATAGGTTTGGTTTTAGGCTTTGTTAAAGCAGTTCTATTTCAGTTTGGTTCTTAGTCTCTGGCATGAAAATAGCAATGCTGTGTTCTTGCCATACATCTTGTGTGCTTCAGTCTCTAATAATAACTTCTCTGCTTTTTTGTTTTCTGTTTAGGAACTGACTTCTGAAACTGTTTCCATGAAGAAGAACATATTCATGCAGGAGGACACAGATCCCCTTGAGAAGGCGGCCTTGAAGCAGGAATTCCATACAAGGCCTTCCAGTATGATTCCAGGAATGCCTCAACAGGTTCCTCCTTCAGAGTCTGCTGGCCAGATTGACTGGAACTTTAAAATGTCACAAGACATAAATTACCAGGAGGCTTTCCAGCATGAAGTTGCTCATGAAATGCCTTCTGGCTCCAAATCTCCTTATTAGGTTATCAGAAAGTAGATGCTTCTGATTTACTTCTCTCAAAGCTGGAAGCCAAGAAAATGGCCAGCTAGAACCAAGATTTAAGGAGCTGTAAAAGAAGAGTTCTACAGGGACTCTCCAGCCTACTGCTGTTCTGAAAACCCTTAATCATGTGAGGATTTGAACTAGTTATAGGATGAAATAAACTCAGAATAATGATTTAAAATAAGGAACTAAATGGGTGTAACTTTTTCCTCTTGTTTTGTCAATGTCTTGGAGACTACACAGTGAAAACGTATCTATCTCATGTGTTCATGTCTTAGCTTTTGCTTCACTTCACAGTCAGCCTGTCAGAGTATTTTTTACACATATCCTAGAGTCTACCTATGTCACTGATAGCAAGTATTTTTCTTCAACATATGCTACGAATTTTTAAAATACTTTTTTCCAATTTTTGTTAATTGTGGTAAAACACATATAAGACTTACCATCTTCACCATTTTTAAGTGTACAGGTCAGTGGTATTAAGTAGGTTCATATTCTTATGCCACCAACACCACCATCCAGCTCTAAAACTCTTTCATCTTGCAGAACTGAAACTCTAAACCCATTAAATAATAACTTGCCATTTCTCCCTCTCCCCAGCCCCTGGAAACCACCATTCTACTTTCTGTGCTTGTGATTTAGAGTACTCCATAATTATGTCATATCAATAGACTCATATAATATTTGTCTTTTCTGTGACTGGCTTATTTCACTCAGGGTAATGTCCTCAAGATTCATTCATATTGTAGCATGTGTCAGAATTTCCTTCCTTTATAAGGTAAAATAATATTTTTCTGTATTTTTATACCACCTTTAGCATATCCGTTCATTCATTGTCCATGAATGGGCATTCATTCATCAATGGACACTTTCACATTTTAGTGACTGTGAATAATGCTGCTGTGAACATGACTCTGCAAATATCTCTTGAAGACCCTGCTTTCAATTCTTTTGAGTATATACCCAGAAATAGAATTGCTGGATCATATGGAAATTCTGTTTTTAATTTTTTGGGAAGCCGCCATTCTGTTTTCCACAGCAGCTGTACAATGTTACATTCCCACCAGCAGTGCACAGGGTTCCAATTTCTTCACATCCTCACCAACACTTGTTATTTTGTTGTTCTTTTGATAGTAACCATCCTAATGGTTGTGAGGTGGTATTTCCTTGTAGTTTTTATTTGCATTTCCCTTATAATTAGTGACGTTGGATATGTACTTAATTGGCCATTTGTATATCTTTTTTGGAAAAATGTCTATTCAATTCCTTTGCCCATTTTTTCATTGCACTTTTTGGGGGTTTTTTTACTGTTGAGTTTTAGAAGTTTTACATATATTCTGGATGTTAATCCTCTATCAAATATATGATTTGCAAATATTTTCTCCCATGCTGTGAACAAACGAAATGTTGCCTTTTCGCTGTGTTGATAAGGATGACAGGCATTTTGAAACAGGTTAAATAGCAGTAAACCTTAAAGGTTTGAAAAAAAAATATTTTTAATTACTTTCTATCTACATTCATTCAAATATCATCTGTATGCTAAGAACTTCAGATTTATGTCTTTGATCAAAATTCCCTGAGCTTGACTGCTTGACGTCTCCACTTGGAGGACCAATGGACACTTCAAACTTAACTTGTCCCAGTGGCCTTTCCATGATAGCTTCTCTGAAGCAGTTTCTCTCCATCCTTCCACTTGCTCAGGCCAAAACTCTTGGTGTCCCCTTTGACTCCACCCTTTTTTGTCACCCTACATCTGGTCTGTTGGCTTTCTATTTAAATAAAGCCAGAATTCAACCACTTGAATGCCCAAACCACACTCATCTTTAGGTGATCGCAGTAGCCTTTTAACTAGTCTTCTCCTATCCTTGACTGTCTCTTGTCTGTCCTCAATACTAAGGCCAGGGTGTCTTGGTAAGACGTAAGCCAGGTCAGGTGTGATAAGCAGCTCCCCACTCTGTTGCAGAAACAGCCAAGGCCCTTGTGTGACCTACCAGACTCTAGGATCTGATCCCCTCACCTTTACTCTCCATGTTGTTCTCTCCCCTCCAGCCATGCTGATGTTCTTCAAACACACCAGACATGGTTCCATATCAGAACTTTCCCTTTCCCTTTTATCTGCTTGGAATGTTCCCACCTCCCCACATTCCCCTATTTCTGCAGATTCTTTCTTCCTTCAGGTCTTTACTCAAAAGTCGCCTTTCCAGTGAGGCCTTTTTTGGTCACAGTATCTAGACTTCACACTGCCATCCACAAAATTTCCTGCCCTCTTCCCAGTCAATCTCCTTCATTAAAATGGGAGCTCCACAAGGGCAGGAATTTTGTCTGTTTAACACTTTTATAACCCCAGAACCTAAAACAGTGCCTGGTACACAGGAGATACCAAATAAATATTTGCCAAATGAAGAAATAAATCAGTTGAACCTATACCAAGGCTGTCAAGTCGTAACAGGTGTAAAAATAGCAAGCTAGCCAGTTTTGATTGGCACAGGATTGGTTTAGAATTCTAGCTTGCTCACCCCTTCCTCCAGTCCAAGACCAGCTGCATAACACAGTGCAAAATGAAATGCTGCCTGACTTATTCAAAAATGATTAGGTATTTCAAGAACATTAAACCAAACGTGCCCCTTGCTATAGTTGGATGTTTGTCTCTCCCAAGCCGCTTGTGGAAATTTGATACCAACGTTAAAGGTGGGGCCTGATGGGAGTATTTGGGTCATAGGAGCAGAATCCTCATTAACAAATTAATGATGTTCCCGGGGGAGGAAGAGGAGGGAGTGAGTTCTCACTCTATTAGTTCCCATGAGAGTTTGCCAAGAGCTGGTTGATAAAAAGAGCCTAGCATCCCTCGCATCTCTCTTGCTCCCTCTCTCACCGTACCAGCTCCCCTTCACCTTCTGCTGTAAGTGGGTCAGCCTGAGGTTTTCACCAAATGTCCAGTCTTCCAGTCAGCAGAATTGTGAGCTCAATACACTTATTCCCTTTTAGCAGCACAAATGGACTAAAATGTTGCCCTTCCTCATATGGGCCCTGTGGGACTCTGCAAGTCACAGAGTCATGACGTCTACCCTGCTCCAGTCAGAACTGCCTCCCATCTGCAGGATCTGTGATAGGGCAAGTCCTCCTAACTATAAGGTCAGGCCTTAGGATGGGCAGCTTAAATACGTTAAAGTTCATACCACAAAGCTCTCAAAGATAGGCCGTACCTTCCACTGGTCTTCCCCAGTATACACTCATACAGAAATTCATCCAAGGCTGGCACATGTAGCGCCCAACATGAGCCATGCTGAAGGAAAACACTCAAAACTTTGGAACTCACTGCCACTGTGGTGTCCCCTCTTTGTCTCATAGGTATAGATGGCTACCCCATCACAGACTACATGGTCAGGGACTGGAACGAGCTCACCTCAGAGCCTCAGAGAGCTAAAGGAGTCCCAACCACCATTCCAGGCTGCAATGGACTGTCCTGGAAACCTAATACCAGGAATGGTAAGTTACAGAAGTTACAGTTTAGGGTGTTTTTTTGCAAGCTGGGAGGGGGTCATAGGTTTGCAAGTAGGGAGGGGCTCCCAGGGTCTGGAGTCATGAGGTTGACCAAGGTTGGTTACAAAGTCCAAGGACCTTGTCAATTGAGGCTGGAATGAGAAACAATAGAAGAATGTCTCAGGTTAGGTGCTGCAGGGGTTGATCGTTCTTCTGTTTTTCATGATCTTTCAGCTACTTCAGGTTTTCTAATTCTGGATGGCCCTCCAGAGGTGGACACTCAGGTCACAGGGGTCGTCATAGCATCTATGGTGCCATCAGTCAGCCTAAAAGACCTTACAGTTCTAAAACCAGGAGGGTCCTGGGCAGACCCTACTTTGATGACAAATTGACTCCATTTAAGAAATGGTTTCTAATTAACCCATGTTAGAATGTTTGACTTTCCTCTAGCACAGTTGTTCTTAAATGGAAAAAAAAAAAAGTTTTTTATCCGACTTAAAGTCTGTGTTGATGTTAATGAGAGAAGTATCATGAGGCATGTCTGACACGCCACCCCTTCTCCCCCAACTTCTTTTCATGGCCTGAACCAGTCTTTCAGGTTAAATTTTAACTCACTTCAGGTGTGATTATGATAATAGAAGAGCAATTTGTTTTATTTTCTGCCTGAGATGCAAGCACATTAAAAAAAAAAAATTAGACCTGCTGGGTTTCTAGTAAAAATGTATTAAATTTTAGGTCAGGAATGAGTTACAGAAATAAATCTCAGTGGGCCTCAGGCATTAACTTCTTAGGGAGCACATTAGGGCCACACACAAAGAGGTTTATTATTTAATAGGCTTTTGTGGAAGAGCAGACAGGCTTCTCGTCTATGCATCTGACAAAGGTTTAATATCCAGTATCTATAAGAAACTTAAACAAATTTACAAAAAAAAAAAACAACCCCATTAAAAAGTAAATTCTCCATTATAGAGATGGAGAATAGATTAGTGGGATATTGACAGACACTTCTCAAAAGAAGTGGGACAAAGGACATTAACAGACACTTCTCAAAAGAAGACATACATGCGGCCAACAGTCATATGAAAAAAGCTCGTCACTGATCATTAGAGAAATGCAAATATAAACCACAGTGAGATACCATCTCACACCAGCCAAAATGGCTATTATTAAAAAGTCAAAATATAACAGATGCTGGTGAGGTTGTGGAGGAAAAGGAACACTTATATACTGTTGATGGGAGTGTAAATTAGTTCAACCATTGTAGAAGACACTATCGTGATTCCTAAAAGACTTAAAGACAGTAATATTATACCGTTAGACCCAGCAATGCCATTACTAGGTATATATCAAAAGGAATATACATTTTTCTACCATAAACACACGTGCAGGCATATGTTCAATGCAGCACTATTCACAATACTAAAGTCATGGAATCAACCTAAATGCACATCAATGATAAACTGGATAAAGAAAATGTGGTACACATATACCATGGAATATTATGCAGCCAGAAAAAAGAATGAGATCATGTCCTTTACAGGGACATGGATGGAGCTGGAGGCCATTATCCTTAGCAAACTAACACAGGAACAGAAAACCAAATACCACATGTTCTCACTTATAAGTGAGAGCTAAATGATGAGAACACATGAACTCATGGTGGGGAACAACACACACAAGGGCCTGTTGGAGGGTGGTGGGTGGGAGGGGGGAGAGGATCGGGAAAAATAACTAATGGATACTAGGCTTAATACATGGATGATGAAATAATCTGTACCCATGACAGAGGTTTACCTACACAACAAAACTGCACATCCTGCACATACATCCCTGAGCTTAAAAGTTCATATATATACATAGTGTTGTCTCAGTAGCAGGAATTATGGGAGACAATGACTTTCAGTTATATATTTTTCTGATAATTCAATCTTTGCAATGAGCATGAATTACTTATGTAAGAAATGAATTAAAAAAAGCATACCTTCAGTAAAGACTGGATTTTAGAATGTTTCCACTTAGAGTCATCAAAAGGTTGAGTCTTGTAACTGTCTCAATGTCTCTCAACTCAAGCCCAGAAGCTGAGTATTTATATTCCTTAGCTTCTTAGTACCTCCTTCAGTTCTTTTTTAGACAGAGTCTCCTTCTGTCACCCAGGCTGCAGTGCAGTGGCAGGATCTCAGCTCACTGCAACTTCAGCCTCCTGGTTTCAAGC